AAGTTGGTTTTTGAAAAGATAAACAAAATCAACAAACTGCTGGTTAGACTAACAAAGAAAAAAAGAAGACTCAAACAAACAAAATCAGAAATGAAAAAGAAAACATTACAACTGATAGCACAGAAATACAAAAGATTATCAGACACTATTATAAACAGTTACACATTAACAAACTAGAAATAGATACATTTACAGAGTAAATGAATACATTCCTGAACACTTACTACCTACCAAGATTGAATCAGGAAGAAATAAAAAACCTGAGCAGACTACTAACAAGTAATAATATTGAATTACCAACAAGAAGTCTCCCAGCAAAGAACAGTCTGGGACCAGATGGGCTTCACTGCTGAACTATACCAAACACAATTTTCTTCAAACTATTTCAAAAAATTAAAGAAGAAGGAATTCTTCCTAACACATTTTATAAGGCCAGCATTACTCTGAAACCAGACAAAGATTCAATAAGAAAAGAAAACTACAGGCCAATATTCCTGAAGAGCATAAATGCAAAAATCATCAACAAAATACTAACAAACTGGATACAACATCAGATTAAAAATATAATATACCATGATCAAATGGGATTTATCCCAGGGATGCAAGGATGGTTCAAAACCTACAAATCAACAAACATGATATATCACATCAGCAAAATGAATGACAAAAATCATGTGATCATCTCAATAAACAAAAATAGCATGTGATAGAATTCAACATCCTTTCATGTTAAAAACTGTCAACACACTAGGCATTGAAGAAACATACTTCAATATAACAAAGGTCATAAATGACAAACCCATAGCTAACATCATACTGAATGGGCAAAAGTTGAATGCTTTTAAAATTTTTTGTGGATACAAGGTCCCACTATGTTGCCCAGGCTAGTCTCAAACTCTCAGACTCAAGCAATCTTCCTACCTCACCCTACCAGGTGTAAGCCACCACATTCAGTCTGAAAGCTTTATTTTTAAGAAGTGGAAGAAGGATGCTTTCACCATTCCTATTCCACATAGTACTGGAAGTCCTAGCCAGAGCAATCAGGCAAGAGAAAAAAATAAAAGGCACCCAAAATTGAAAAGAGAAAGTCAAAGTCAAATTGTCCCTCCTTGCAGATAATATAATCTTGCAGATATAAAAACTTAAAGACTCCACCAAACACTCTTAAATCTTATAAATAAATTCATTAACGTTCCAGGATACAAAATGAACATACACAAATCAACTGTGTTTTTATACACCAATAATGATCTAACTGAGAAAGAAATCCAGAAAAAAAATACCTAAAAATATACATTTAATCAAGGAGGTGAAAGTTCTCTACAAGGAGAAGTACAAAACACTGATGAAAGAAATTGAAAAGGATACAAACAAATGGAAAGACATCCTACATTCATGGATTGGAAGAGTTAATATCGTTAAAATGACTATACCCCCCCCAAAAAGACTATACTGCCCAAAGCAATCTACAGATTCAATGCAATTCCTATCTAAATACCAATGAAATTTTTTTTTCACAGAAATAGAGAAAACAATTCTAAAAAATTAATATAGAACTAATCTTGAGCAAAAGGAACAAAGCTAGAGGCATCATACTACCTGACTTCAAAATATATTACAAGGCCACAGTAACCAAAACAGCATGGTATTGGTATAAAAATAGACATAAAGACCAATGGAACAGAATAGAGGACTCAGAAATAAATGTTCACAGCCATCTGATTTTTTTTTTTTTTGAGTTGAGGTCTCATTTTTTTCACCCAGGCTGGAGTGCAGTGGCACAATCACGGCTCACTGCATCCTTGACCTCCTGGGTTCAGGCAATTCTGCTTTAGCCACCTGAGTAGCTGGGACTATAGTTGTGTGCTACCATACCCGGCTAATTTGCAGTCAACTGATTTTTGACAAAAGGCATCAAGAAAATACACTGAAGAAAGGATATTTTGTTCAATAAATAGTGTTGGGAAAACTGGATATCCATATGCCGAAAAATGAAAAATGAAACCATTATCACTCATCACACATAAAAATCAACTCAAGGTGGACTAAGGACTTAAATGTAGGACCCAAATCTATAAAACTACTAGAAGAAAACATAAGAGAAACACTCCAGGACACTGGTCTAGGAAAAAAATTTTATGGCAAAGACCTCAAAAGCACAGGCAACAAAAATATAGAGAAATGGAACTGTATTAAACCAAAAAGTCTGCACAGCAAAGGAAACAATTAACAGAGTGAAGAGACAACTTGTTGAATGAGAGAAATATTTGCAAACTATTCATTTGACAAGGAATTAATATCTAAAATATATAAGGTATTCAAACAACTCAACAGTAGAAGAACAAATAATCCCATTAAAAAGTGGACAAAGGACCTGAATAGACATTTGCAAAACATGCAAATGATTGACTGGTATGTGAAAAAATGCTCAGCATCGCTAATCATCAGGGAAATGAATAGTAAAACCACAATGAGATATCATCTTACCCCAGTTATAACGGTAGTTATTAAAAAGACAAAAAAATAATAGATGTTGACAAAGATGTAGGGAAAAGGGAATGCTTACACACTGTAACTTGCAACCATCTGATTTTTAGAATGTAAATTAGTACACATAGCCACTATGGAAAACAGGATGGAGATTTATCAACAAACTAAAAGTAGAACTACCATATGATACAGTAATCTCACTACTGGGTATTTATCCAAAGGAAAATAAATCAGCATATCAAAGGAATATCTGCACTCCCATGTTCATTGCTGCACTATTCACAATAGCAAAGATATGGAATTAACATACGTGTGTGTCAACAGATGAGGATAAAAAAATAATGGTAGATATACACAATGCAAAACTATTTGGCCATAAAACGAATGAAATCATGTCATCCACAGCATTATGGGTGGAACTGGAGGTCATTATGTTAAGTAAAATAAGCCAACAGACAGACAAATATTGCATATTCTCACTAATATGTGGGAATGTGGGAACAAAGAAAGTGGATCTTATAGAAGTGAGAATAGAATGGTAGATAGCACAGGTTAGAAAAGTGTGTGCATGTGGGGAGGGATGAAGGGAGGTTGATTAATGGGTACAAACATACATCGATAGCACAATAGGGTGACTACAGTTAACAGCAATGTTTTTTACATTTCAAAATAGAAGAAAGGATTTGAAATATTTGCAACACACAGAAGTGATAAATTCTTAAGGTGATGGATACCCCAAATATCCTGTCTTGATCATTACACAGTCTATGCATGTAACAAAGTATCACGTGAACCCCATAATATGTACAATTGCTATGTATCAATACAAAAAGTTTTTATTTTATTTATTTATTTATAATTTATTTATTTTTGAGTTGGAGTCTCACTCTGTCACCCAGACTGGAGTGCAGTGGCTCCTCCCAGTCACTGCAGCCTCAACCTGCTGGGCTCCGGCGATCCTTTCACTTCAGCCTTTCAAGTAGCTGGAACTACAGGTGCACGCTACCATGCCCAGCTAATTTTTTAAAAAATTTATTTTAGAGATGAGGTCTTGCCAAGTTGCCCAGGCGGGTCTCGAACCCGCGGGCTCAGGCAATTCACTCACCTCGGCCTCCCAAAGTGTGGGATTACAGGCTGAGCCACCGAGCCCAGCTAGAAAAATTTTTTTAAAAGAAGTTAAGACAATTATTAATAAAAGGAAATCTTCAGATCTGAAAGTGCTTTTTCAGAATATAGAATACATTTTTAGTTGTTTCTGATAGTATAACTATTAAGTATATCAGAGGGTACAATTTATTTACTTATTCATTTGTTTATCTAATTAACTATTATTTTAAAAAATCAATCAGGGTCTCACTCTGTCACCCAGGCTGGAGTACAGTGGTATCACAGCTCATGGCAGCCTCAACTTCCTGGGTTCAGGTGATCCTTCCACCTCAGCCTCCCAAGTAGCTGGGACTACAGGTATGTCCCACCATGCCTGGCTAATTTTTTTAGATTTTGTAGAGACAAGGCCCCACTATGTTGCAATCCTCCAGCCTCAGCCTTCCAAAATGCTAGGATTACAGGTCTAAATCACTGCTGAGAGTACAATATAAATCTCTATATCGCTATACCCGGATGTGATCTATATTGCTCAATGCAAAACCATTGTTTCTTCAGTCACTTTCAGGCAAAGCCTGGGAACTTCCCAGGTAGTTTTTCTCCTTTTTTCTTTTTCCCCACAATCTTCAATGTAAAGGTAGTCAAGTGTCACTAGAGAAAAGACTTGAGCAATTAAGACCTTATTCTGACCTGGAAACCCAAGTCTTACCTATTGCTTAATAGTTTAATTTTCATTAACGCATCTGCAAACCATAAACATTTTAGCAAAACCTTAACAACTATAAGAAACAGATTATATAGCAAAGGATGTCTATTTTTTAAAAAAGTCAGATTTGAGTATTTAGCTTCTTTTCCTACCCTATCTCTGGTTGCCATTGTCCTGTGCCCATCATGAAGCCCTTTTTTAAGGTAACTGTATGCTTTTGATGCTTTATGCTTAGAGAAAGATTTTCCTAATTCCAAAACTTCTATGATTTTCAGGACACCTCTGTGTATATTTTTTAACTGGTCTTGTTTCATCTATATTAGACTTTGCATTTTAAAAAATGTCTTAGGAATCATATTTTGAATTAGTGGTATTTAGGCCGAATTTCAAATATTCTACCTCATTGTCAGATCATGTTTCTCATTTTTCTAATGCTTACTGTATGTATACTCTAAGACAATGCTATAAGCCCCAAAGTCCAACATTAACTGTTTTCTTGCAGGGCTAGTAGAGAATAAAGTAAGTACTGAAGATTTATAGGGAGCTATGATCTTTTTTTAGTTAGTCTTGAGTTAGAAGAAAGATTGAAAGGAAGAAGGAAGATTGAAAAAAAGATTGAAAAAGGAAGATTGAAAAAAAGTTACCATTTAACTCTAAGCTCAGTAGTAAAACTATATTAATGGCACCACAGAGACATAAAAACTGACTTGGTATTTATATGTCATGTTAAGTAAATAATTATACTTTTATAGGTTGACAGTCATGTACTTCAAAGCACTATAGTTCAACAGATTGATAAATAGGTTATAATGAAGTATGAATGCAAATAGAAAAAATCAGATTTTCAACTTACTTTCATAAGTTATTCCTAATATGACCCATGAAGCCATATAATTGAAGTATAGGAGTTGCTCAAGAACAAAATTATTCTCCTTTTCATCTCGAATACTCAGAATACGTGATTCTGGATCTGTTGAACAGAAAATAATCAATAATTTGAATAATTACTTATCCAGAACACTTTATTTTATTTGATGGGTTTTCTCAGTTTAATATACTTCAAAACATAAACAGCATAGGAAAATTAGAAAGATATGTGAATTAAAAAACAAAGAGTTAAGTACCCATGTTCTCACTCATCAATGGACTCTGAATACTTAAAATACTACAAGAAAGGGACTGGCAGTAGCAGGACACTGCTGAGGTGGGGGGAACACAATACCAGTAAGGGTGCGTGATCCCAATTCAGGCGAAGTGAGGTCCAATGGGAGGCCCAAATTTCACCCGTATGTGGATCACTTATGTTCCTGACTTGTTCCCACATCTTTAAAATAAAAAAGAAATTTAAAAAAGAAAGATACGTGAATTAAAACTATTTTACTGTACTAAAATGAAGATAGGTTAAACATTTTCTAATGGGATAGAAGAAAACTAGTAACCGAGTAGAGAATTTAAAGTATTTATTCACTTCACTTTCCTCCACTTAAAGGTTTTTGTCAGTTGGGACAAATCCTGCCATCTTAATAATATACTATCAAAGATTATAATAAATAAAACTTGGATAGGATATAAGACAAATCTTTTTTTTTTTCTAACTACCACTATTAGGTTAAAAAAGTTTAATATTTCCCAAAGTATGTTGCTCAGGAAATTAACAAGAGGGTTCCTTAGAAAAAGTCTTGATGGATTCAAAAAATTTGCACATTTATGTTTATACAAAGTTAAACTTGTTCATTTATGCCAGTATTTCTTAAAGTGTATATTAATGTAGATTTGATAAAGGCCACCAGGAAACTATCTACAAAGTCTAGTGTTTCTTAACCTTATTCTTTTATTTTCTTTTTTACTCTCATTTTTTTCAGTCTTGTTCTTTTTCTAAGGATCTTGTTTTTGCAGAACAGGACTAGCATTTTACAGTATACTTTGGGGAATAATGGTTTGATATAATCTACAGTTACTTCCCATAAAGTTCATATTTCCATGAGTTCCATCATTCAGATGTCACAAGTCCTCAGTGGATCTCACAGGAATTATCTGACTAGTCTTAAGAGCTGAAAGTGTGAAATGTGTGTTTTTTTAAGCATAACTGCTCCTTTGTGGCATGTCTAAGCATTCGACCACTCTAACCTATTTTTCACTTTCCCATTGCTTAGCTTTATTTAGCATCAAGTTCTCTGCTCTATTGTGTCACCTCTTTTCCTTTTTAAGGAGAACCTGTCTTGTTTACAGTTATAAAGACAGACTATGTCTTGAATGGATGAATAAATAAAGGTTACGCTGGTACTTTCCATTTTAACGAAACACAAATTTTAATACTTTGTTGTTGATAATGTAGAAATTAGGAGACAAATATTCTTGAGACCTATTTACTAGTACTAATTAGAAATACAACACAGGTGAGATTTTTTTTAAATTAGCAAAATATAATATATAATGATAATATACTTACTTAGTTTCTGGCATTTAGAATGAACTTCATCCAGTGTTGTTGCCATATGTCTTTTTTTTGTTATCATGAAATTGTAGCAACAGTTCTGAAAAGCTATCCATGGAGTATTTAGAACAGGAGATGGACATTTAACATTGTCAACTGGTTTGACCTCTTTTTCAGTGTCATCTGAAAAACAAGTTAATGATAAAAATTCTGATTTCAAATATAAAATGTTAAATCCTGTTCATAGTCATTAGACTTAATTTGTAGAAAATATTCAGGAAACCAAGAAGTGATATCCTGGTGAAGCTTGCTCTCTGTTTATACTCAAACATATTATACAAAAAGCCAGCTTTCCAAAGGAAGGAAGTTATTTGACACAATTTTCTAACTCCTGCTGTGGAGTGGAAGAATATTAAAAACGAGGTGTTATTAGGTTAAACGCAGTTCCTTTCTTCCTGCATTACTAAATGTCAAGTATAAGAGGTTACCTCAGAAAAACTATATGAACATATCAATTATTAAAAGATACCTAAATATAAATTTGAGAATTCATTTTCAAGTTTCTGGCTACTGACATCACTAGTTTTAAAGAACATTTCAGTGAAACATTTGATGTTCTAAATAAATTACTGCTTTAACCAAATCAAACAAATATTGTTTAAAAATATGGCATCTAGAGAATCTGATTATAATTTTTTTCATCTTATGAAAAGGCCATACACTCATGAAGATGCAAATATAGGTATACTCTACTCACATAAATTAAACTGATTTATTATGTAGTAGAGACTATTCAGCATCTCTGCCAGCTCACAATAAATCCCTTTGTCCATGAAGCAGTTTTCTTTCTACCATAATCCCACAATTGTGAGCCCCTGACAGTTGTAAAACCACCTTCCTCTGATTGGGCTAGAGACTACAAACCTGACTCAGGCTAAGTTCATCAGATTTGGAAGACTTAAAAGGTGAAATTTAGGAATTATCAACTCATCTCAAAAAGTTGCAACTGAGAGCTGCAGAGCTGCCATGTTCTACTATGAGCAGAGAGAGGCAGAAAACATACAAAGAGTGCAGGTCCACAGAGAAGAACAGAAATCGTAGGTGGAAGAGAGTCTCTGGGTTTCTGATTTTCATTCCTAAGATTCTCAGCTCTATTTCCATTTTTGGGTTTTAAGTTTCACTTTTCTTAAGCTAGCTTGAGCTGGTTGCTGTTACTTGCAATCAACTGAATTTCAACAGTGGCTAATAAAAAGTAATGTTGGTTGTGGTTGGGCACAGTGCCTCAGCACTTTGGGACGCTGAGGCAGGAGGATCACTTGAGTCTAAGAGTTTGAGACCAGCCTGGGCAACATAGCGGGATCCTGTCTCTATTAAAAAACAACAACAACAAAAATGTAATGTTAGTTATGTTAAGAATCGCACAAGAATTCCCACAAATATAAATACAAAACATATACAAAAAGAGGTCAAGTAACAATGTGACTTAAAACTAAAGCATCAATCACCACTGTCAACTGATATAAAAAATAAAATATGCCTAAAATAACTCAATAACAAAATATTTAATATATCATAATTCTTGAATACAAATTTTCATAAATGTTGTTTTAAAAAGGACATGATTATAATTTCTTCACAGTTCCAAAACCAGATTTTATAAAACCACTCCTCGGAAATTCTATTACTCGAGAGACTGGTAATAATTTAAGAATTATGGCTGGATGCAGTGGTTCATGCAGCACTTTGGGAGGCTGAGGCAGGAGTATCACTTGAGGCCAGGAGTTTGAGACCAGCCTGAGCAACTAAGTGAGATCCTGTCTTTACAGAAAAAAAATATACATATATTAATCAGGCATGGTGGCATGCACCTATAGTCCTAGCTACTTGGGAGGCTGAGATGGGAGGAATTCTACAGCCCAGGAGTTTGAGGTCACAGTGATCACCGGGCTACAGAGTGAGACCATGTCTCTAATAAAATAAGATAATTTCAGAATTAAAATATTTGAAATCCACATACTTTCTGGATAGTAGCAAATAGCACCTGGTTGCTTATCATCACAATCAGCTGTTTTCCAGAATCCATCAGTGTCTAATATCACACAGTCTTCAAGTTGCTCATTATTTTCAGTCCAGCGACTAAAATGAAGACGTTTCCCATCTGACCAACCAAAGTTGAGTTCATCCTGTAAGGAGCAGTAATAAATTTCAAATGGCAATATTCATGATATCCCATTGTATTATTTTGACTCTCATTGTTAATCTAGTGATTTTTTATTTTATTTTATGTTTAACACACACACAACATTTACTATGTGCCAGGCATTGTTCTAATTGCTTTGTAAATATTGAAATTTATTTAATCCTCATAACAACCATATAACAGAGGTATTATTATTATCTCCAGAACCATATACAGCATACACAGCCAAGCCTCAATACCACCAGCTGCTTCATTCTGAACTGTTCAGAACCAGAGTTCCATTTGTAATCTTTGGCCAGTTAATCCCTAAACCAGTTAATCCATGGTCTCAAATGTAACCCTTTGGCAATGTGACTTTGCCTGCACTCATCCTCACTGCCCTGTATTTCTTTCCTTTGCTGGACTCCCACCAGCTTTTGTCCTTGGGCCTTTGGAATTTCCATCCCATATAGATAAATCATCCCACACCTTCTATCTCTTTACCGAATACAAAATGTCTTTATTAAGACTACATTGGTTGGGTGTGGTGCTCACACCTGTAATTCCAGCACCTTGGGAGGCCGAGGTGAGAGGACTGCCTGAGCCCAGGAGTTCGAGATCAGCCTAGGCAACATAGTGAGACCTCATCTACACACACACACACACACACACACACACACACACACACACACACACACACACCCACACACAAAACCCAGGTGTGTTGGCACGTGCCTGTGGTCCTAGCTACTTAGGAGGCTGAGGCAGAAGGATCACCTGAGCCCAGAAGGTCGAGGCTGCAGTGAGCCATGATCGTGCCACAGCCCTCTAGCCTGGGCAACAGAGAAAGAGCCCAACTCCCCCAAAAAAAAAAAAAAAAAAAAAAGACTGTATCTTTTCACTAAATTCTTGAACTTAATTGAACTTAATTTAAATCTGGCTTTCCCCATAGAATAAGCACCCACAGGCAAAGAATATTTGTTCTTCCATTCTCAGATGTCATAGGGCTATGAGAAAGGGGTAGTTGGTATTTTTATCTCCTTCAGTCATTTCCCTTGGGGTTTATTCCTTTCTTATCACTGTAGACTCCCATAATCTGACATTCACTGAGAACTTGGTCCTCTTTCTCCTTCTTGACATTCACTAAGATGTCCCTACTGTTGCTCTGTTCTCCTGGTCCTGCCGTTGACTTAGGGATGTCTATGTTCATAGGGATGACTCACCCAGTTCCCAAGCCTTCTTGACTTCCTCTCATTCTATGCATTTTTACTACTATGTTATTAAGTGACCTACTGCCATGGTCACACTCTGCACTTTATGTAACTCAGAACAGCTGCATATCAGATACTGTAAATACGCCTTAGTTCAGGCCAACATCATTTCCTGCATGAATTTATATAAAAATAACTGATCTGGCCAGGCTCGGTGGCTCAATCTGTAATACCAGCACTTTGGGAGGCCGAGGCGAGTGGATTGTCTGAGCCTGCAGGTTCGAGACCCACCCAGGCAACTTGGCGAGACTTCATCTCTACAATAAATAAAAACATTAGCTGGGTGTGGTAGCGCGCACCTGTAGTTCCTGCTACTTGGAAGGCTGAGGTGGACGGCTGAGGCAGAAGGATCGCCGGAGCCCAGTGGGTCAAGGCTGTGGTGGCCGGAAGCGTGCCACTGCCCTCCAGTCTGGGCGACGGAGTGGGACTCCGATTCAATCAATCAATCAGTCAATAACTGATCTACCTCTCTCCAGAATGCTCGCTTCCTCCCCCCAGTAAACTTAAGTAAAGTCCTATATTATTACTATTCTGTTTAAAATCTCTCAACATCTTCACATTGCATTCAACGTAAAGTGTTATTTATTAATATCTTGCTATGTTTCATGAAATTAAGGCAGCTTATTAAGATACATAATAAATGACTACATAGAATATGCTAAAATTAAGGGTGAGAGAAAAAGAGAACTATACGTAAATATAGTTGAAAATAGGGTGAGAAATAAGACCGAAATCATTAAGTGGAGGAAAAAATGTTACAAAATTCCGACCCCAATTGTCTTAAAAATAAATATGCATACATAGAAAAATACATACCCAAATATTAAACCATATTTATCTGTAGGTACTGGGACTATGGGTGACTTTAATTTTCTTCTTTTAATTTACTATACTTTACAAATTGTCTACAGTGACACTATGGCTGTGTTTCAGAAGATTTAAGGTGATTGAAACTAGGAAATGTGATAATTTATTACTGCCCTCACAATAGACACAATGATGGGTTTCACAAAATATCAAATACTGAAGAGGAAGCAAGTAAAAGCAGTGCTACGAAAGAGTTGATGCTGGGAGGACTGGATAAGCAGCTCCCTGATCACCTGGCTTGATCTGTGGGTAAATTTTGGAATACTCAGAGACTCAGAGAATATTCTTCAAGCTATTTCTAAATGCTACTTTTGTGGACTTCTAGTAACAATTCCAGCTTTTTCATTCATTCTCCAGGTCAATTCTGAGTTTGTGCTAGGACTACATTGTCTTTGATCACATTTTCTGCATGCAGCCCTAGACCACAGCCAAGAAATGAGGCAAAAATGATCTATAATACTGAGAAGAAGATGATAGCTTTATATTTAAATATCCTCTATTTAATCTCAGCCAAAAGCCACAGTTGTATAACTATTCCAGTTTGTGCTACATCTGCATAGGTTAGTGCAGGAAGTTAACAGAAAACTGGCATTCTTTGTTGGGTTATGAAATAAATGAGAAATGCCTGAGACATCTATCCAGATTCAGTACTTGGGATGGGTGAAACACCACTGTATTCCCTTTTAGAGTAGCTTAATTTTATTCTGCTGAATTTTTTTCCTTTTTTTTTTTTTGCATTGTAGTCTCTGTCGCCCAGGCTGGAGTGCAGTGGAACGCTCACGGCCACCGCAGCCTCTAATTGTTGGGATCAGGTGATCCTTCCGCCTCAGCCTTCCAAGTAGTTGGGACTACAGGTGCATGCCACCACGCCTGGCTAATTTTTTGATTTACCATAGAGATGAGGTCTCATTAAGTTGCCCAGGCTGGTCTCAAACCCCTGGGCTCAGGCAATCCTCTCGCCTCTGCCTCCCAAAGTGCTGGGATTACATGCATGAGCCACCACGCCTGGCAGATTTTTTTTCTCTTTTAAATTAAAGATGGGGTCTTGCTCAAGTGATCCTCCTACTTCCTGAGTAGCTGGAACTATAGGCATGAGCCACCATGCATGACAACTCTGCTGATTTGAAAGATGGAGGCCAGTATTTTGGGAGACCAAGGTGAGAAGATTGCTTGAGCCCCAGGAGTTTGGGACCAGCCTAGGCAACAGAGCAAGACCTTGTGTCTACAAAAAAACAAACAAACAAACAACAAAAAAATTTTGAGCCAGGTATGGTGGCATGCACCTGTAGTGCAGCTATTTGGGAGGCTGAGGTGGAAGAATTGCCTGAGCCCAGGAGGTTGAGGCTGTGGTGAGCTGTGATTGTGCCATTGCATGTCAGCCTGGGTGACATAGTGAGACTCTGACTCAAAAAAAAAAAAAAAGTGATGGAAAAGACTCTTCAATGCCACCCACAGTGCTTCTGCACACCCAATCCCATCTGATTTTTAAATTCTTCCCTTCTCATCTTCATTGGCTGAAGAGATATGGCCCCTCCCAATTCTAGCTCAGGCTGATTAGAATACATTCTTTAAAAAGTTTTCAAGTGTATATATCTACTAGGACATTTTCCTCATTTAAACAATAAAACACTAGATCTTTCAATAGTGGGAAGATAATTGCCACTAAAACTCACATATTCCATGAGATTTACTGTAGTAAAATTTTAAGATCTCCAGTTTCTTTTAGTCTGATACAAGAGATGCTATGTAAATTTTCAAAATGTCACATTCTATCACCCAGTCTTGGCAGTAGGGACTAAAAACTCACGTCTTGACTGGAGAGTCCGATCCACAAGGAAGAGTTATGGAGGACCGCCTGCACGGTGAGAAATGCCTGCTGGTAAGGGTCCGTGATGCTCACCAGGTGCATGTTATTTTTCAGACACTCCCGTTGAGCATTGTGCCAAGTCAGAGTCTTCGAGATTATTTTGTATAGGTTATTTTGATACTTTACAGTTTCTGAAGTATTCTGCAAGATCTGGCTGCCTTTAATTTCTGTGTGTAAATGGAAACAACAACCTCTCAACTCTGCAAATCATAGGACACCTTTTCAAGTTTCTCCCCATACTGACTTTAGATATTATTTATCTATTTTATTTTAGATTTTGAGCTGAAGAATTAGGTATGTCTTGCTGTATACCTTAGGTGAAATAAATCTGCAGTAACGTTTATTTTCTACAATCAGAACAAAATTCTGTTTCGTTTATCTGATTTACAGAAAAGCTGTAAATAAATGTAACCTGTAATAAGATTACCATCTCATGTGCCAAATATTTCTTTTGTTTGAACTGCTTCAACAAGGAAAGAAACGTATATAAGTGTCCCCTTACAGAGTTTTCACCTGGGAAAGCTAGCATGTAAAAATGTTGAAAACCCTCACAAGAGGATATTTGAATTACTGCTTTATGGTACTTCTCTAATAAGGCAGTTACTAAAAAGATGGGACAAATGAGTAAAGATTAATTTAGCAAAATAATTCTGCCAAAGTGCTTGAGATATCTACTGAAGGTTCTCATTCCATGGCAAATTTTTTTCTTAACCATTTTTAAAAATTCATTGTGGTCAGTGAAAAACAATGTAATACCTTTAAAAATATCTTTATTTAAATATGGATTATTTCTACTTTTAAGTTCCCATTTTACTTGTATTTGGATTATAAAAAGGCATAGACAGTAATTTAATTTATAATGCTTCACATCTTTTAAAGTAAAATTTGAAAAATATCAGAGTAGAGAAAGAACAAAATTCAAAATTACTATCATTAGACAACTACTCAACATATTCCATGAGATACTTACTTTTCATATTTAATTAAATTGCAATGGTACTTTAAAAAGTCACATTTTATTTGATATAATTTGACTCACTAAGCCAATAGGGACTTAAGCCATGCTGAAATTTTCAGCTATATGATGAAGAATTAACATAAATTCACTTATAAGATTTTTATTAAAAAGGAACTATATATCTAACAGCATAAAGTATCATAGCTATCTAGATAATAACAGATACCTGAATATTTCTGACAGAGAGATACAGAGTGATGTTCACTGCAGGAAGTAAAATTCCATGTCCCAGTAAAAGGTGACTTTTGGAGGTTGAGTATTAGGGCACAGTGGTAGTAGGAATCTTCTTCAAAAAACTAAACAAAAAGGCAAATATAGGTAAGTAATCATGAAACAAGGGTCAGAAGATCCTAGCAAGAAAATTTTCAATTCTAGATTACCTCCCCCTGTAAAAAAAAAAATTCCATGAAGGCTCTGACCATGAAATGCCTGAGAAAATCCTGATAAACTTCCAAAGTATGGAAAAGGGGCAATTAACTTCAGAAATTAAAAAAAAAATAGTGTCAATATTGATAAATATATATTCAAGACAGATAAACTGTTAAAAATAAGACAAAAACAGTTTCAGAAATATTTAACACTCTGCTATTAGTTCAAGAAAGCAAAAACATAATATTATTAATTCAACTTATTAGATGTTTATAAATCTTTTGCAATGACAAACTGCGTACCACATAGCAGAGAATACACCTTAAAGCTTTGATCCTATCCCAGTCACTAAAAAAAATCTACATATTTTTAAAATAAAAAATATCTATATATTAAAACAAAAGTATCTAGATTACATTTTCTGGCCACAAGTCAATAATATTAGATATTAAATTTTATATTGTATAAAAGCAAATTGTCCCTATACTTTTCTTTATGTTAGAAATATGTCACATTAAAAAAATAAGAAAAGTAGAATTTTCCCAGGAGATACTGACCAAAAAAAAAAAAAAAAAGCCACTAAATAAATACTACACCAAAAATGAAATAAAATAATTATAGGAAGAACAAAATGAGAAATATTAAAAAAGGTATGGTTGAACTTTATGTGGATTATTAAGTATATTCTCTCTTTTTTTAGAAAACATGAACTAAATCTAAAATAGGAAATTAGAAAATAAACAAAAACAGAACTCCAAGAAAAACAGAATAGAAAATGTAGAAGTAGTATTTACAAGCAGGTCAAGCACTAGGAGTAGAGGGTAGCAAAGCGAATGGAGAGTACCAATAACATGCATCTGCTTTTTATAAAAATCTAAATAAGACAAAGTAAAAATGCAATTAATGTCATGACATTTAAATTTCAAATTTAATTTCAATTTAAAATAATTTAAATTTAAAAATTAATATCATGAAATTAAAAAAAATGTCATATGCAACTTCAACACATTTGAAAACCTAGATTAAATAGATAACTTTTTTGAAAAACACGAATTAGCATTAATTGTCACAAGGAAAAGTGAAACACCAAAATGTACCAGTAACGTTGGAGGAGATTGAAAATTAATAATAAACCGGGCTCGGTGGCTCAGCCTGTAATCCCGCGCCTTTGGGAAACTGAGGTGAGTGAATTGCCTGAGCCCGCGGGTTCGAGACCGGCCTGGGCAGCGAGACCTCATCTCTACAATAAATCAAAAAATCAGCCGGGCGTGGTAGCGCGCGCCTGTAATTCCGGTTACTCGGAAGGCTGAGGCCGAAGGATCGCCGGAGCCCAGCAGGTCGAGGCTG